TGACGAGTGGACCTGGCCAGCCAGGTGCGAGTAGAGCACAGCTCTGCCTCAGCCTCTGCCCCGCAGGCCTTCCAGGGAGATCCGGGAGCAGAGCCTCCGCCCTCCTCCGGGACACCCTTCTCTTCTCCTGGCCAGCCCTTCCTCATCCTGCCCCCTCCCTACTCCACTTCTGGCCCTGGTCTTTCCTTGTGGCCCTGGGTGACAGCCTCCTCACTGAGCTTGGGTTTCCTCAGCAAGGCACACACCTCTCCCCATCACAGGTGGCCAGGAAGCAGTCCACAGACTGGGAGATGCTGACGGAGACCAGCGAGGAGCCATCGCTTGCAGACCCTCTATCTTTCCCTTGGGGTCCCTTCCCGGGTATGGACCCATAAGGGGAACGTCTGTCGATCGACTCACTGATGTGAGGGCTGATGTGATGCTACTTGCTGCCTCTCCCACGCCCTATCTCCAGCCCCCTCTCACCATGCGGGGCAGGGTGGGGCCGTGCCGGCCTTGGGCCTGGAAGGTGGGCGAGGGTGACCGAGCTGGCCAAGGGCCGAGTGTTGGGGGCTGCAGGCGAGGTCTGGGCACTGGCGGGAAAGTCCGAGGACCAGGGACTGGGGACAGTAATAGCTACCCGCCTCCCGATACCCTGGCTGCTCCCTCTGAGAGGACCCGGGGCGGAGCGCGGGAACCACCGCCCCCGGGGCGGAGTGCGTGCGCGGACCTGCGCCGGCCGGGCGCGCGCCCGTGACGCCATCAGCGCGCGCCGCCCCGAGTTCCGGGCGCAACCTCCAGGCCGTTGTCCCAGTGTCCTTCCCTAGCGCGTTCTGGCCCCGCGCCCCCGCCCCCTGGCCCCGGGGCCGGGAAAACCCAGTTCTTCCTTCAGAAATGGGCCTGGGTGCCTCCGCGCCCGCGGGCCCGTCCCCGGACCTCCGAGGCTGGGTGCCGGGAGAGGCCCCGGTGGTCTGCGGCTTCAGCACCCCGCCCGGGGGCGCAAGCGAGGACCGCGGGGACGGCCTTCCCCTCCGTGCCCTCGGGCCTGGTCTGACCCGCGAGATAAGCCCCAAGGCCCGATCGCGGGCCGTTTATTTCCCTTCCCCATCACAGCCTTGGGGGAGTCCTTGCAGTGATGAGGGTAAAAGGCAGAGAGACGTAGGCAGATCTTCAAGTAATCGGGAGGCAGAATGGACTTCCAGCCTGTGGTCAGCTTGTGTCGGGCCGCCAGGGGCGGACAAGCAGGCTGGCCAGAGAGCTTCAGGCGCCCCGACCCAGTCAGCGTGAGAAAACTGCCCCCGGCCCCAGGAGCCTCATGAGGCAGTGCTGTCCAGCTAGGGGTTAGGTGGCCCCTGTAGGCATCCGGGCAGTGCTTAGCAGCAGAGGGCGTGGGACGGTTTATTCCTTGAGGTCACCTCAAGAGATGACACCCCTGTGGCCAAGTGGGGCTTCCCAGGTCAGGCCTGGCCAATGGAGGATTAAGTAGGAGGAAGTGTGGACTGCCAGGCAGAGGAGACAAAAATGACAACAGTTGGGGAGGGTCAGGGGTCAGGGCCTGGCCTGATCTGAGGAGAGGGGAGGCAGCTCTGGGGGATATTTGCCAGGTGGGTGTGGGAGGACGGGAGCTACAAGGCCGCACTAGGGGCCACCATGTTTTCCAAGGGTCACCCACATCGGGGGCCTAGGCCATACTTATCCACCATCCTGAGTTCTCTGTGGTCCTCCCTTGGTCCTTTGTGGCAAGCTCTCCACTGTGCCTGTGTGTCTGTCCTTCTCCCTGGTGTGCCCAGTCCCTGTTCCCCGATCTTGAGGAGGCAGGAGCTTCTCAGACCCCCTGATCCTGTGCGCCTTATCAAAGACCCCTGTCCAGGGAATCTGCAAACGTGCAGGAAATAGGAAGTCAGTGAGGGAAATGCTCTGGCATTCTCAACTGAGATTGTGTTCGCTGGGAGGGCTGAGGGCACAACCCCTAAAACAGAATTCTCTTTATTAGCTCAAAGATTTGTCAGGAGTGACTGGGTTTTTTGTGTACTAAGCTCTGATTGCCATTCATTACCTACACAAGGACATGGAAAAACCCATTGATGTTGGTGTGGTAGTGGGTGAGGGGAGGGTTCAAGGAAGGGGGGGGGGGCCCTGGAGGGCAGCTGCCTGAGGACCTTTGCCTAGAGAGGGTAGGATACCCATCCTCAGCCCCACTGCAGGGAAGAGAGGACTGGAGATTGGCCAAGTCCTGCCCCAGGAGCAGCCACCATCTGACCCTCTGCTAACCTTGCCCTGTCTCTGAGGCCATTGTCCCTCGTGGGAACATTCCGTGATGATCCCAGCTTGAGGCTGTGCCAGATGGTGAAGGCTGCCTGAGGCTGAGTGGAAGCTGGCTGTGACTTCCAGCTGGGCACAGAGGCTCTGGCTGTGGGAAGGCTATGGTGACCTAGAGTCCCCACACTCAGCTCACATATCTAATATGCAGACCCAGCCACCTCCTGGGGCTCCCCTGTGCGTCCAGGTTGGAGCGGGGTGGAGGAAGGCCAGGCTGGAAGTCCATTCTGCCTCCCGATTACTTGAAGATCTGCCTACGTCTCTCTGCCTTTTACCCCCATCACTGCAAGGGCAAGGGTCCCCTGCCACCGGCCTCCTCTCTGCAGCCTTCAGGGTCATTAAATGAAGCTGGGCTCCCTCCGGGCCCCTGCCTGCCTCTTTAGCTGCTCTCTGCCTGCCTGCTGCCCTCCAGCCTTGCTGGCCTTCCCTCAGCCCAGGGACATGGCAAGCTCTTTCCTGCACACAGGACACTCCCTCCTCTCCTGCCCCTTTTCCCTCAGGTCTCACTTCTGAGAACTGAGGCTGCCTACTTCTTCAGGTGACGTGTGAGCAAAAGGGGTTACACTAGGGTGGGGGGGGTGCTCCTCCATGCTCATGGCCCCAGGAGACTCACACAGATCAGTTTCTGGCTGGGCTACCTGCTGTCCATGTTGTGCTGTGGGGCAAGGGGAGGAGACCCCAGAGCTTTGGCAGAGTGCCTTCCCCTTCTGAGAAGAGAGCGATGGGGGCTGGATTGCTCCTGGGTGTGGGTCCCCACGCCCTCTCTCAGCCCAGTGCAGCCGCAGCCCCTTCCTCCTTGTAAAGGGGCACTCTGGCGTGCTGGTGTGCAGTGCACTAGTGAGTGGATTTGAGGGCAGAGTCCCCTCAAGGCCCAACTACTAGGCTTTACTTGCTCTGGGAACTACCCAGAACCCCTGGAGACTGCAAACAACCTCCTGCAACCCCCACACCCCCAAAAGCTACATTTGTGAGGGCTTACCCTGTGTTAAGCACTGTTCTTTTTTTTTTTTTTAAAGGTTTTATTTTCCCTTTTTCTCCCAAAGCCCCCTGGTTCATAGTTGTGTATTTTCAGTTGTGGGTCCTTCTAGTTGTGGCATATGGGACGCCACCTCAGCGTGGCCTGATGAGCAGTGCCATGTCCAGGCCCAGGATTCGAACTGGCAAAACCCTGGGCCTCCAAAGCAGAGCGCGCAAGCTTAACCACTCGGGCACGGGGCTGGCCCCTTAAGCACTGTTCTAAGCACCTTACAGGGATTATATCATTTTATCCTCATTACCCACTGGGGTGGGTCATTGCGTCACCCCATTTCACAGATTAGGAAATTGAAGTTAGGTGACTTGTCCAAAGTCACACAGTGAGCAAAGGGGGAGCTGGGTTTCTGCCCACACACACTGCAGCCTGGACAGCAGGCCGCAGGGGAGCCATGTGTGCCTCCAGCCTCAGGGGCCTGTGCAATGAGCCAGCACTGCCTATCACCTGCATTCATCCCCACAGCAAAGAGCCAGTAGCCTTTGGAGCCAGTGACCACAGGAACCAGGGCTCCTGCCTGCCTGTGTGTGTGTGTGTGTAGACAGCCCTGGCTGTGGGCAGGCAAGCTTTGCTGTTGGGTGCTTTCTCCCCTGTTGCGGCAAAGATTGGTAAGTCTCCCAGGAGCACTGAAAGTGTGTGGCCTTCCTTCCAAACTCTGTTGCCCTTGCACCCCCAAGCGCTCACTTGGCCCTCAGACCTGCCCCAGATCTCCTGTACCCCAACTCCAGGGATGCGAGTGCTATGTGAGTTCACTGGGGTAGGGCACTCTCCCCCAAAAGGAGCAGCTCCAGGGACACAACCTGCCTCGTGGAAGGCTTCTGCTGGCAAGTCACTTCCCAGTCTGAGCCAAACCCTTGCATGACTCTCACCCTTGGAATCACTTGGACAGGAAGGTGCCTTCTGCCCCTGCACAGCCAAGGACACGGGTTCATGTGTCCACTTGGCTCATGCGTTGTGGTTCCCAGCTCCTTATCTGGAGGGGAGAAGGGGCCCCAAGCTACAAGGACCCTCCAGTTGAGGGCTCTGTGGCCTCCATGCTCTGTTTCGCTCCCTGTGCCTGGTCCTAGGGGGAGGGAAATCCAGCAAGACAGATACCTTCCTCCAAGGCTCAGGGCTGTGAGGTGAGAAGCCTCCAGGGTCCTGGTCAGGCAACTCTACCCCCTCCTGCCCCAGGGCAACTGTCCCCCAGCCTAGTGGAGTAAGGAAGGGACATATGATCAGCCTAAGTAGAAAGTCTCAGGACCAGAAACTGGATGCCCCACAGCATTTCCCCACAAGCAGACCATTTCACAGAGAAACCGAGGTATGAGGACATAGGCTGGGCCCCAAGTTGAGGGACAGACAAGAGCCTGGGAGCAGTGTCTCCCAGATCCAACCACCAGCTCTCCCTCAACTCAGTGCTGCCTCCAGCTGACCCTGAGGACATGCCTTCCAGCTGACCATATAGGATCTGGCCTACAAGGAGCAAGGCCTGCAGGGAGCCCAGATGTCTCATGGCCTGATGCCAGGCCCCTCAGGCGGCTGACACTATGGCCAGAGCTGGCTCTCTTACCAGCCTGCTGCCCAGTTTCCCTGTCCCCCTGCCAGTGTTCTCAGGTGAGAGGTGGGCCTGCCCTATACAGAGGCACGACCATCACTGCCCACCCACAGATGGGTGCACACAGGGACAAGAGACTGTGATAGGATCCAGTTTATTCTGCCTTGGGAGGGTGGTCCTGAGAGCGGCAGGTGCCACCCTATCCTGGGCAGAGGGAGGGCCCGAGGACCAGTTAAGGCCAGTGGCAGGAGAAGCAGGGGGCACGCAGCCCCTGGAATGCGGTGAGGCCAGGCTGAGGCCCGGAGGCAGCTGTGGTAGGCTGGGGCAGATGCCCCTGCTGCCCAGGGTGGAAGGCACCGGGCTGGGACTGGGCCATGGCTACAGGGCCGTGGACCCAGGCCACACAGGCACCCCGGGAAGTGGGTCATAGGGTCATGTGACATGGAACACGAAACACAAGCACATGGCTCGTGAATAAGCACATGGACAAGTGGGCACAGATTCACAGGCCAGAGGATCACCCAGCCTCAGCCGGATTCATGGACACAACAGTGTCACACAGGCCACAGGAGACACACAGCACTATGGGACAGGTGGACTTAATGGCCACAGGGGCCAGACCCAGGCCACGAAGTGCGAGGGTCAGGGGAAGGGGGCCTTTTGGCACGACTGCACTGGAATCGTGAGAAGAGGACAGTGGGGGCTTGTCTGGAGGCACCTGGGGACGGCCCCCACGCAGACCCTCAGAGCTCAGTCCGTCTTCCACACTTTGTTTAGCAGCTTTACCACCTCGTCGTAGATGATGAACACAATGGCCACGTCTAGGCAGACCCGGCCCAGGCGTGGGACAGTACCCTTGTAAAATCTGGGGAGAGATAGGATGTGAGAAGGCAGGTGAAGGGCAGTGCCTCTAGAAAGCGGGGTAGGGTCCAAGCATTGGAGAAGCAAGAACAGGGACCTAAATGTAAGAATTCTCTATGGGATGGCCTGGGGCTGGCAGGGGGTTTGGAGTGAGGTCCAGAAAGAAGACCAGGGAGGGCCTGGGTGGGGACAACAGCTTTACCCCTCCCCTACTCACGCCTTGAGCCCCTCGTTCCTTAGGATCTGCAAGCCGCAGTCCCACGTGTTCCGGTATTTGTGTGCCTCCAGGCCCTGTAGGACATGAGCACGCCACAGGGCTCAGCACCCAGCCCCTGTCTCAAGCTCCCCTCCCGCTTCCTAACCCCACTCCCACCTGCATCCGGGTCTTGATCACATCCAGAGGAGTGTTCCCAAATACACTCGCTGCACCTGCGATAGCTCCGAACACCCCAGTGATGAGCGGATTCATGGGTTTGTTGGGGTTGTCCCCTGGATGGGGGTGGGGGTTGTGGTCAAAAAAGGATGGGAGAGTAAAGAGGATGGCTCTCAGGCTTGGGGTGGCACATGGACCAGGGCCTGTGAAGGTGGGGGCCCCAGGGGTGGGGCCCTGGTGAGGAGACCTGAAGAGGAGGAGCCTGGCCCCAAATGTCTTAGGGCCACAAACACACCTCGGTACCAGTTGCGCAGAGAGGTCATGACAAAGAAGCGGATGGCTTGGTTGGATCCCTGCTTCAGGACGGTGGCTGTGAGGCCCTGGTATGTCCCCTTTAGCCCTGGGGACAGGCAGGCATGGGGGTCACACTGGTGCCTCCCAGGTCCCAGCTGGGGATCAGGGAGAACCACAGGCAGGAGGGCCAAGGAAGGAAGGGGAAGTGCAGGTTCCTTCCAGCCTGGCTGAGACCCTGGACCCCACCTGAAGAAGGCCGGGTGGCTCACCTTGTTCCCGCACAATCTCTCTGACACCATGGAAGAACCCTCTGTACTTGGGGTTGGAGGAGGTCTGGTCGTGGATGAACTTCACCTGAGAGAGAAGAAAACAAGGTGCTGGCCCAGGGCACCATGGGAGGACACACCTGGCCACGCGGCTAGCAGGCCCAGAGTCCACCAAGGTCAGGCCAGGGTTGGAGGTGCAGCTCTTCCCCCTGGAAACAGGGCCACCCAAGGCTGCCATGGAACACGACACCCCTGGAGACAAGAGAGCCTGCCTTACTAAGGAATCTCTGCAGTTACGTTTGCTGGTGCTTCCCACAGCTTAGACAGCAAACCCCTGTTATCTTATGTTTTCTGTTTACAAGTTTTAAAAAACCTTAATGCTTTCTCGTTGCCTTCAACACAGAATGCAGCCTCCACAAGAGGCTCTTCCTGAGAGCCCCCTGCACACCGTGCTCCCTCCTGCCGAGACCCTCCCTACCTTGATGGTCTCCATGGGACACACGACCACCACGGCCTCCGCCACGCCAGCGCCCAAGCCGCACAGCAGCCCGCGTGTGCTGTCCAGCCGTCCCTGGGCGTCTCGCATGTGGTTGCTGAGGAACTCGAACGTCCCGAATCTGGAGGCGGGGGGCAGCGGGGTGAGAGGGTGCAGCCGCCCGGGGCTCCTTCCCCCTGCCACCCGAGCCCCTCACCTGACTGCCGCCTTGGGGATGGAGCCGTAGAGCAGGGAGCTGAGGCCTCGGTACAGGCCCAGGACGCCGTGGCTACGGACAGTCTGCCGCACGCAGTCCCCTGGAGGAGGGGGCGGTCAGCGACCCCGCGCACTCGGGGTCCGCCCCCGCAGCTACCCGCGCGAACGGCCCTCCGGGGTCGCCCCTCCTCACCGATGCCCCGGTAGCGCGGGGGATGCGAGCGCTCGTCCAGCTGCAGCTGCGTCTTCACGTACTCGGTGGGGAAGGTGATGCAAATCTCGATGCCGCCCGCCAGGCCGCCTGCGGGGAGCGGGACCCGGCCCTGAGAGCGCCTCGCGGCCGGTCGCCCCCGCCCCGCCCGCTGCCCAGGCCCCTCCCCCGCCCCGGCCTCTGCGCGCGGGGAGGCCCGGCCGGCGCCCCACGCCCCGCTCCCGTGGTCCTGGCGAGGCGCGGAGGGGCGACACACGGGCCGAGCCCGGCACGCCGCTGGGGGCCACGGCCGCGCCCCCCGCCCGATCCGGAAGTGGGGCGGGGCCTCGGCGTCCCGGGCCCATCCGGAAGGGCGGCGGGCCGGGGGTCCGCGCCGCGGCGGAGCCCACCTGCCAGGATCGCCTTCCCCGGGTGCGTGAGCTTGGCCTTCCCGGGCGCCGGCGCGGCGGCCGCCAGAGCGCGCGGCGCGGCCATGGCGGGCGAGCAGGCAGACGCCCGACGTCGGCCTCGGGTCCGAGCCTCCTGCTTTGGGCGCTCGGTCCGCGGGGGCAGCAGCGGCGGCGGCGGCGGGTTATGGTCTGGGGGGCGGGGCGGCCGCGTCAGCTCCCGAGCTCCGCCCCGCGTGGTCCGAGCCGGGCCCCGCCCCCAGCCCGCCCCTTGCAGCCCGGGAAACTGAGGCCGGGGCGGGGCGCGCCGAGGCGGAGACGACGACCCAACCAATGCCTGAGCCCGGGTGTCCGGAAAACCGTGCGTGGTGGGGGCGGAGGCACGGTCCTTGGGAGGCGGCGCTGCCACTCGGCCTGGACCGGGGGGTCAAGGTGCAGTGTGTAAAACCCGCTGGGGCATCGAGCAGAGTGCGGCGTGGGAAGGAGCGGATCTTGGGGTCTGCGCCAGGAGCGACAGGACCGCCGGAGATCGGGGGTGGAGGAGAGGGGCAGACCCTCCCCGAAACATGTGGGCCTCACCCCATGCTTGCTGTTTGAAGGCTGTGCGGATACCACTCCCCCTACGGGAGTGAGAGTTCCGTGCAGTGCACACGGTCGGGAAAAGGCCCTAATACAGCCCGGCTGTATCCCCCGGACTGCCTTCCAGGGCACACGCAGGTCCCCCACCCCCACAGAGGTCTCAGCAATCTTTTGTCCTCTCCTACCCAACCAGCACCAAGCAGGGACGCTTTGCCTTGATAAACCAACTTTAATATTCACAATCGGCAGAAGGCTCAGAGCCAGGTTATACGTTCAGTTGTGTCTGCAAAGCGGCCTGGAGGGGGCAGCTCTGCCAGTGCCGAATGAAGAGAGGGTGCCCCTCCCGCCAAGCGCCAGGGAATCCGTGCGGACTGGAACTCCCTAGGAACGCCTGGCTCCAGCCAGAGGGCCTGGAGGCAGAAGTTGACCTCCCTGGGCCGGGGGCTGGAGCTGGTCTTCTCGGGCAGTCAGTGACTATGCTGGCCTCGCCAGGCTCCAGAACGGCTGGGAGGCTGCCATCAACGGGCCCCAGCCAAAATAAAGAAAGTCCAGGTGTCCCCGCCTCCCCTCGGGGTCCTCTGTGCTTCTGGGGTGATGCGGTCCTTGGTGAACTGGGTAGAGGGGGTGTTGCTACTGAGCACACAGGACACGCTGAAGCCGTACACCAGAGGCTGGGTGAAGGCGGGAGCGAAAGCATATCCACAGGGGAAGCGAGTTGGGCCTGGGCCTGCAGCAGGGCCTGCAGTCAGCATCAGCTGCTGGCCTGCACAGGGAGAAGCTGAGGGTGAGCAGGGCTTCTGCCCCTGGGTGGCCAGGGGCCCAAGGAGCAGGGTGACAGACCGGCCCTGACCACCCAGAGGCTGAGGCACCTGATAGAAGGTGCCTGGAGGAAAGGGCTGTGGGAGCTGCTGTTATGGGGCCAGCCACAATGGCTAGATAGGCTAGAGGGTAGGCTAGTCCCCAAATGGGACACTTAGCTCAACTGGCTGGGTCTCACTCATGCCCATCAAAATCTAAAAAAATTTTAGACTGACATTAATGGTAAGTGGGCATAATGATCCCAAAGGAGGACACGGTAGGAGCCTTGAGACCAGGAGACGTGCTGTGTGCTCACACCACACCCTTAGGCTTGTGTTAGTCCCACGATGCACTCCAGGACCCAAGAGCCTCTCTGTGCAGTGGGCAACAACCGAGCTGTCTGCTCAATGGCCATGCCATCCGGGCAGGCTCTGAAGTGCAAGCTAACAACAGCCTTGCTGCCTGGGGGCCAGGATCACACACAGCAGCAGCTTGAAGCTGGGCAGTTGCCAGGCACAAGAAACAGGCAGGAGCACCCCCCTGGCCCCAGAAGGCAAGTGCCCTCAGAGTAGGGAGGACAGTGGCTGTCCCTTTCTAACATTCCTGGATCACTGACCTTCTCCACATTAGGCAGCCATCATGGTCTTTCCAGCCCTTGCCCTGTCCATACCCCCGCCCCCTGCCATCTGAAGCCCAGCCAGGGAAGGATGGTGTGAATCGCCCTCCTCCCCTCCCCTTCCTAGGTGACAGGGGACTATGGGCTATGGGGTGCTACCTACCAAACAGGAGAAGGGAGGGCTCCACCACACGCTCCTCTTGCTTGTGTAGACTCTCTAAGGCATCCAGTCTGTCCACCTGCAAAGAGGCAAGAAAACGTGACCACCTACCTGGCAGGACAAGGGAAGTCTGGGCCTGGAGGTGAACGTGGGGCCGGAAGGCAAGCACCCAGCCTCCAGGAGGGTTAGAGCTGAGAACGGGCACATGGGGCAGATGCTGCACCGGCAGCGAGCACCACCTCACTCCACGAGAAGATGAAGCCTCTAACCAGACAGAGATGGAACGCCCTGGTGAACCCCAGCTGCTGTCTTAGCCCAGTGCTTTCCAAGTGGGCTCCTGGCTGCCAGGAGCAGGGGCCAGGAACCACAGGCTTTGAATGTGGCATTGATCACAGGGCTGAGTCCTCCTCTGGACACAGGGACACTGCCAGGACAACACAGCACTTCCTGCTTCCAGCCAATCTAGGCTGCCAACTCCTAAGGAGACCTGTCACCTGACACCTAAGACCCTCGACCGGGCAGTGTGGATGTGCCACCTGAGAGGCAGGGGCCATGACAACCATCTGAGGACAAGCTGCTCCTTGACCTTCCTCAAGGCCTTCACTGGGCGCTGCCCCCTGGAGTGCCCATAGGCTGGTGCAGACACAGGGACAGGGAGGGAACAGAGTGAGACTGTGCCATGGGGGCTGCAGGGCAGATAGCACCCATGGTGCTGGCAGGGGCTACAGCAACCGTACATCTGTGACCCCCCCCAAACAAGCATCAGGGTAAGAAATAAGAAACAATTACGTGTCCCCTGTGTACTCAGGTCTGGGAGAGAAGAGGCCAGGCGCCAGAACCCCAGCAGAGAGCCCTGCCACTGGCCCTGTGCACTCCCCTCTTCCTCCCTCCACAGGACCAGGGTTGAGGTGAGGAAGGAGGAGGACAGCCGTGGTGGACTCGCAACCTGTCCTCTCTGCCTTCAGCTGGCCGACGCCCAGGGCTGAGGGCTGAGCTGGGCTTGCACCCTCCACTGGGAGAGCCCTGGGGTGGGAGGGTTCTCAGAGGGACGACCCTCAAGCTTTCCAGATGAGTCAAGAGGTCTGGAACCAAGTTCTCCTGTCAGGAAGGGGCTGTGGCTTTCTTGTCTGGTCCCCTCTGCCTCTGTGACACAGCAATGTGTTCTGTCTTCTGGGCCCTAACCCAAGGCTGAGAACCAGCCCACACCCCACCACTGCCACAGAAACCCCTCGTAAGCCCTCTCCTCTTCCCACCATGACAGGCACCTGGTCCAGTGCTGGCAGAGGCACATGTGGCAGCATCGAGGGCAGGTGCTGTGGCAGCCCCTGCCTTCCAGGCCTCGGGGAAGTATCTGGGGCTAGGGGCAGGGTCCTTCCAGCAGGAAGGCAGCTGGAGCTCAAGCACACTGTACCATCCTGGTTTAGCTGTGTGGCCAAAGTGCTGACCAAGGTGACATGGCTGCCAGGATGACCTCTATCATCTGCCACAGAGAGGAAAAGTGCTCCCCCAAGTCCTCGAAGGCCCCCTGGGAGTCCAACCCCTTCAGCAATGAAGGTCCGAGTGGGCCCAAGTTCCTCTTATGCTAAACCATGGGCCTCCACTCCAGGAAGAGATTCAAGCCACATTCATCCCTCTTTATGCAGGGGCTCAGAACAGACAGACTGCTCCCAGGTTCAGACACCTTAGGGATGGGAAAGGCAGCCCATCATGGGTAGAGCAGTTCTCGCAGACAAGCTCCATATAGCACAGGCACCTATAGGAGGGAGCTGCTGTTCGCTGGGGCTGAAGAGCCACGGCCCCTTATAAATCCAACTAGCCCATGTCCCCTGGCAGTCCACATGGCCAGGGCTGCTCCTCCCCTGCCCCTGGTGAGTCTCAGTAGGCCACCCGCTCAGAAGTGCTGTACACATGGGACCAGACTGCACTGCAGTGGTGCCTCCTGCTGCAGCAGGCCGAGGGCCTTGAATGGCCCCTGGGACGGCCCTCACCAGGAGCTGGGCAGCTCCCAGGAAGCTCTGCAGACAGCAGGCAGAGCAAGCCCCTGTAGGCCAAAGCTGGCTGCACGAGAACTTTCCCCCCTTCCTGTTTCTTCCCTAACCCCCACATTAACCCTGGGAAGTCACTCCCTTCGGTCTCACACTGAAAGAAGCCTCAGGCTGGTGGCTTCTCGGCATTGTCAAGCCTCCCATCTGGCTGGAAGGTGAGGTGTATGGCTGGATGGGCAAGCAGGTGCTGCTGAGAGACAGCTTTTTCTGTGTTAGAAACAAACCAGACCAGAAGACAAGAGTCTCTGGACGGTGACTAGAGACAAGAATGCCTAGGGCTATGACACATAGGAAGAGTTTTGAAATCAGACACTACCACCCGGTTAAACAACTCATCTGCTTGCAAAGAAAGGCAGAGTGGGATATTAGGGATGCCAAGTGACATATGGAGTGGCAGAAGCGATGTGCTGAGACACGAGTATGGCCTCTGGGCCAGGGAGATGTGGGTCTGAGCCCCTCTTCACCTGTCAGCTTGGGACTGGAACCCCAGCGTCTGCAGTTGTAGAGGGGATGACCATCTACCTGTCAAGGTGTTACAGGATTAAGTGTTAATATTCCTACTAAGTGCTCAGCAAAAGGGGTCTACCACAACAGGTTCGCCAACAGCTGCACCCCCAACTCCTCCGGCGGCGAGATCTGAGGTGGATGGCCCACATGGAGCCCACGGTTGTGTGCTGCAGGCTCTGCCAGCTGGCCCCCCACTGCTCTCACCCCATGAAGCCCTCTGGCAGTGTGCAGGAGAGCTGCTGCAACGGGAAGTGCTTAGTTCTACCCAGTGCCCACATGGTGATTTTCTAGAAGAGGTAAACACTTGGCAGAAAACCACTCAAGTGTGAAGGCAAGAGGCCACTCCTGAAGGCAGCTGGGGCTGGTTGGGCAATCTGGGTGGCCCCCAATGGGCCACCACAGGGACTCTGCAGACAGGGGCCACAGTCACAGCCGTGCCACATGGCGGCCAGGGAGCTACAGCAGAGCCGGTACTTACTTTGCTAAGGTACTCCCTCATCACCTGGATGAAGCAGGGCACGGCCAGGTCCAGGAGGTTGTGTCTCCAGGCCAACTCTAGCACCACATCTGGGGGGAGCAGGTTGTAACAGGCGAAGAGAGAGGCCGCGAAGCACTCCCGCTTGCCCTCCTCCAGGAACCACTGCAGCAACTTCTCGGCCAGCTCAGCATCCTGGGACTTGGCAGCATGCTCCATGGCGTCCCACAACCAAGGCGCAGACGCACAGCTCGGGCCCACCTTGCCTCCTGCCACCTGAGGTACTTTTTGAGCTATGGAGGCCCTTGCCCGCAGAGGAGTCCCTGTGTCTTGGCCGCCTTCTGGTAGGATGAAGTACCACCTCCAGGAAGGCTGTGGAAGGCACTGAGCATGGTCTCATCTGCTGAACACACACGGGTGTAGGTGCCCTGTCCTGGGAGACAGGGACTCTGGCCTCAAAGCCAGAACGGCATGCAGAGGGCATGTGTGGGGCTGCTCAGGGGGTGGGTGCTGAATGGGGATGGTAACAGCACCAGCAGTGCCTGCTATGAAGGCCAGACTGCTGTGTTTGGGCCAAGAGTCAGTGCTATTCTTCCAGACTCAACATGAAGCAGCCACGACGGACAGGTTAGTGCTCAGGAAATAGCAATTTGCCTTTTCTTCCAGACATAAAAAACTCTATCAAAATCCCTAATTGTCCCTGTGTGTGGGCCAGCTAGTCCTCACCCGACCGCGTCCTAACACGCTCCCTCACACCCTGCCTGATCTGCTGTTCCTCAGCAGCCCCAGCCTTCTGCACACAGTCCCAGCCCCTTCTGCTCAGCCATCCTCTTGAGCAAAGTGTGTACAACGCAAGGTGGTCACCCCTGATGGCTGACTGCCCATGGTGCTTTTACACCCCACTTCCGCAATGGGGAAAGTACACTTCTGGTGGCGTGCTGTGACCACCCATTCACCTGGGACTTCCACCCAGGGCAGCCCACCTGCCAGAGCACTGCTGACACGTGTGTGTGTTGGGGGTCAGTTGGGGACCCATGCATTGTGGGCTCTTTAGTGCCACTCTGGCCTCTACTTACTAGATGTAGCACTGCACCCCCAGCTGTGACAACCAAATGTCCCCTGGGGGTCAGAGTCACCCTGGCTGAGAACCACTGCACTGGAAAGTATGCCAACCACTTTCTGCCTGTGGCTTTATCCTTCCAGATTCTCTTCCTGGTGCCATCACTCTGGGTGGGATCGCTGGCTGGAAGAGGATGGATGCCCCTCTGTCAGTACTTGCAGCACCAAGTGCTCACTCCCTCACTGCCTGAGTGGCGAGGAGCCCATGCATTCAACACCCGGCTATGTCCCACGGCAGGAAAGTGTGGCTGTGACCCGCCACCCAGGGGCAGCTTCCCTCCAGTGTGCCTGAGCCCCGAGGCCACCTCCCAGGGCCAGTACCTGGGCACCCTGACATGTAGTCTCAGAGCTTCTGTGGCATTTCCTCTCAGCTCCCTCTCCAAGGGCCCTGTCAGCACCCCAGGAAGGACCACAAACACTCTCACTGAGGGCAAGGACATGTCATGTAATAGTCCCAAACTGGAGGTAACAACTTTGGGTGAGGCTTGACATGCCCCTGATATCTAGTGGTCTCTGGCCTCAGCCTAAATGCACCGAGAGGGAGGCGCCTATGCTGGGTAGTGGGTGGCAGTTGTGTATGTCCTGGGAAGGTGCTCAGGAATGCCAAGGACAGCTCTGGGAGTAAACCCCTTAGGTCAACCTCATGGCCTTCAGAGGGGTTCCCGAGGGCTCCTGGCGGAACCCTTGGAAATCAGCTTGGCAGTGCAGCATATTACAAGGGCCCTCTTGTGAAATGCACTCTACCCCAGTCGGGAGATGCCAGGGCCAGGCAGAGCGACAGTGAAGCCTCAGGGCCTGGGATCTCTCAGGCAGCCTACTCTGACCAGCAGCTGCCCAGAACGGGATGTGGACCCAAGCATGGCTCTGAGCCACTGCTCAATGGCAGAAACAAATACTTTGAACATGATTTTAACTTAGGTGTTTTTATTCCCCAGATCTCGACAGAAAGTAAAGCAAGTGCCCCGTGAACACTGCCACACTGTTTATGGAGAGAGAAACTCACGAATAACTGCCAAGAAAAGAATCAACTCCGTGAGAGCAAGTCTTTTGATTGAAATAATTTTTTAAAAGGCTCTATGTTAATGACAGAAAATAATTCTCTACGTTGCTCCCAACTCTAACTCCATGTTCTAAAAAAGCTCCCTTTTTTTTTTTGAGGAAGATCAACCCTGAGCTAACATCTGCTGCCAATCCTCCTCTTTTTGCTGAGGAAGACTGGCCCTGAGCTAACATCTGTGCCCATCTAACATCTACTTTATATGTGGGACGCCTACCACAGCACGGCTTGCCAAGCAGTGCCATGTCCTCACCCGGGATCCAAACCAGCCAACCCCGGGCTGCCGAAGCGGAACGTGCGAACTTAACCGCTGCGCCACCGGGCCGGCCCCCAAACGCTCCCTTCTTAACTTCACCCTCCCTCTCCTGCCATGAAGGTCTCCTGGTAGGGGCTATGATTTTCCCCACCCCGCAAAGCATCAGGAGGCACACATGGGTGGGTAGGGCATGGCGAGACTGACCTTGTAGAGATGGTCTTTCTTGCAGAGCGCCACGCTCTGGGCCCACCAGCTGCTGCCCTTGTACAGATAAGCAACAATGTGCCTGAACTCGATCAGCTGGTGATTCTCCAACCGCTGTGCCAGGGCGATGTTGTCAAAGTTGTCATAAGCATTGACAGACGCTCTCCTAGGGTTCTAGGAGAACACAGCCTTTCCATGGGTGAGGGGACACAGACAGCAGGCACCCAGAAATTACTCAGTGGTGGTTTCTGCACCACGGCTTCAGAAAGGCCCCTGCCCATTTACTGATGCTGCCCCGTGGGGCCCACACTCCCTCTTGTGCCAGGGCAGCCTGCTGAGAACACACCGGCCAGTGCAGAGAGGGGCTCTCCAGATCCTGAGCGCCCAAGGCCAGCTGTGCAGGTCCCTGGGCACCTGCCGCCCTCTGACGGGGCCCCTTTCCGCACACTCACCTGATAATCCTCCTCTTCCATCAGCAGGTGGTTGAGCGCCTCATTCACACTCTTGTTGTTGTGGCCCTGAACTGACCACAGGTAAGGCTTCACCAGAGGCAGCTGGCCCGCCTGACGTCGGGAGAACGGTCAGGGCACTCAGACAAGTCGTCACGGGATCACTGGGCTGGGGGCCCTTGATGCCCTGACAGGCCAGTGCGTAAAGCTCAGCTCCAGGTCTCCTTCCAGACACCTAGAACTGACAGGCCCCACACGCACTCACACACAAAGGGCTGCTCGGGTTACTCAGCAGACATCAATTTCACCATGGACATTCTGGCCGGAATGCAAAACTGTACTGAAAACTAAGTAGTTCGCTATGTTTAATCTTTAAATTGGCTGGGGATCAATTTCAAATACGGTTTATTAAACTACTACTATTCAGATGACCTTGGCCCAACATACCCTTCTCTGGTCCCTGGGTTCTGGCTGACTCACTTTTGAAAAGAAGCCGACAGTCCGGGTGTGGTCCAGCCGGGGCGCCAGCATAAGCCGCAGGTGGTTGATGAGCAGAGGTCTGTAATCCACATGGAACTGCAGGGCTTTACAGCAGAGTTCCACATCGGCAACCTGCAGGTGGGGGCAGAGCTGAGGGTCAGCTCGTGCCCATCTTCAGCCCCACTTGCTTGCCTCAGATGCCACACGCTCCACACCTCCTTCAGGTTTTTGCTCAAATGTACTTTATTATTGAGGCTGGCAGTGACTGCCCTTTATAAGACTGAGCACCTCCTCCTGACACACCTGCCCTTCCCCGTCCCTGCAAGACGTCCTTTTCCTCAGCACTTGCCACCGAAGACCTAAGAGGCAGGTCTTTGTTTCCTGCCTCACCCGAGGATCTGACATGGGCTTGATGCTCAGCCAGTGTCTGCTGAGAGAATGAATGAGGAGGAACGAGCCAGAATACACCCAATACCAAAACACAGTTTTATCCAAGCAAGATTCCCCTAACCCTCCTCAGGAAGCTCAGTCTGAGCCATAAGCTAATCTATTAACACGTCACATCACGTCCCCACTGCTCCCTGGCAAGATGCCGTGGTGCTCAGATGGGCAGCCCTGGTCAGCAGGGGAGGGCTGAGCTGCTCTGGGGTGACCCTGTGCTCATGGGAAGGCTGTCCTCCCAGGCGTGCTGACTGCAGGGCCTGGCATTTGGAGGAGAGCAAGGCGGTTCCTGCCCTCCAGAAGGACACGTGCCAGGTTGGCGGTGATGAACGTGTCTGGGGGAACATGCAGAGGTCCAGGGGTGTGTAAAGGGCACTGCAACACTAGAGCCATGCTGGGGGGAGGGGCTGGGTGCAGTGGGAGCCCTCCAGCCATGCTGGCTTCAGATGAGCCACCAGGAATGTGGGGCTGAGTGACGTCTGCAGACGGAAAGGTGAAGAAAGGGGACTGTCCACAGCCTCGGCTGGTACTGTACTCTCACTAGTTACTGACAGCTTTACCCTCCTCTCCACTCTGACTCGGACGTGCCCCTCTCAGACCAGAGCACTCACTGTCACCACAGATTCCGACCTAGATTGGCCACGGGGTCCCTAGCGCCCACCACTGTGGATGTAGAGGAGAGCAGTGACCCTCCCCACCGGGCATGCTTGCATTGGAGCTCTGGAACCTGTCGTTCTTCCAGGCTGGGCTTCAGACTCAGCAGTATGAGGCCAGATCAGGGTCTCCAGCCACACTAGACAGCTAACAAGCAGCAGGGCCTGCTGGCACATAAGGTGGGGTCCAGGGGCATGGGCAGTGGGGCTGGCGTTCACCTTCCATAGAGAGCTGCCTCCTCTGCCCCAGTGGCAGGCCTTGTGCTAACAGCACTTGTAGGAGGACTACGGGACGAGACAGCATAGTGTGAAAGGGCAAGCCATTCTCGCTGAGGCTCTCCACTGGGGGGGCAGTGAGCCCCAGGGAGGCCCCGCCCCTCTGCATGGCAGGAGAACTGGCAGAGGTGGTTGTCAGCCGGCTCCCCACTAGGGTAGGCAAGACCATGTGCTTCCCCAGCCTTCTGAGCCAGTCTGTGCAGCCTTCACTAAAGCATGGCCAGATTGCCCCGTGTCCCTCTCGGTGGACAGCTCAAGATAGAGCTTGACTTGCCATGCTCCCTTCTCAGTGCTGCAGTGACTGCAGGGCTGGATAAGAGCTGGCCCAACACGGACACATGTTGTGTTGAGCTGAGCTGCTGACCTCGAGGGCACCTGGTGCCCTCAGGATGAAGCGGTTTCATGGCCCTCTGGAGCATCCACTGCTCCTGTTGGGGCACTGATGTCTGCGCAGCAGCCCCTCTGCAGCGACGTGCCAGGACAGAAGCACCAGCAAGGCCTTGCCCACCTGCACAGCTGGTAAGGATGGCCACTCCCAAGCCCATGGTGCGTACATTGTGCACCTCATTTCCATGGAGCCCTGGGCCCGGGGACAGGGCATTATCTCTGTTTTGCAGAAAAGCAAACCAAGGCTCAGAGATTCTGTCATGAGCTCTAGGGTGATCAGCAAGAGTGTTCTAGCTCTTGACACATACTGCACAACCTGTGAGAAGCACTGATAGTACGCCAGGCACCTGCCGTCAATCACTTGGCAGGCAGGAAACATTGTCCATTTGATGGGTGGGATAACTGAGGGTCACAGTGATGACACCAGCCCAGAGTGACAGAGACAGCAAATGGCTGAGCCGAGATGCAACCCTGGTCTGTGTCAGCAAGGCCTCTGTCCGGCCCTCTACTGCCCAGCCTTGTTGCCAGGCGATTCCAAAGCCCTCCTTTGTGTCCCAGAGTGGAGACAATGTCCCCTCTGCTGGGCCACCACAATAGCTAGTGTCCTCCACCCTGCCTCTCCTCCATGTATGAGCTGACAAGAGGGTGTCTCCCCCATGGCATCCTCTGTCAAACCAAAACAAGACCTGGCTGTCAGCTGCACTAACACTGCGGTCCCACACGACAGTCTCATCTGAGAGTGTGTGTCATCAGACCCAAGACGCCACGCTGACCTCCACCTCTCCTCAGGAGTCCACTGAGCCTGAATGCCATCAAGGTGGACCACACTCAGGTAATGGGATACATCAGCTGCTGGGACGACAATGATGCCCTGACACTGCTAAGAAGCAGAAAACACTGCCACCTCAACCATGGCATGCCATCAACTCTAAGATGCACTCTGATATCAAAAAAGTTAAATGTGAAAAAAGCACACCAAGAATTAATCAAACATGGGTTCTCCAGCATGTTTTTCGCATGCGCAAGGGCACAGGAACATGTGATCTGCCCACCCTTCTACCAGCAACCTGCAGACCCCACTCATGCCAGGACGTCCTGTCAGACGGTCACTGACTTCACACACCACCACACTTAACAATGCGGATGTGCGTGACCTCCGGGCTGACTGTTTTGTCTAACAGCTCCCAGTGAAGGCAGATGCTGAGACCTGGCTGGGTGCCCTCCTACCTGTCACCCACACCTGCCCCCTGCAGCTGTATGTGGAACAGAAGGCACAGGACAGGCAACAGTTTGCGGTCCCTAACCCAGGCAGAGGGGAGCCCACACCTCCACCGTGGGAGTGGCAGGACAGACACAGTCAGAATGCTACCTTTCACTGACAGACGGCAGACAGGAGAGACCTGTGGGCAAATTATTTATGCAAGGCCACTGGGACAAAACAAGGACATTCAGTGCAAGAGGCCCAGAGACTGAGGGCCGAGAGCTGCATCCCCTTACCTTCTACCACCTGCACAGAGCTCAAAAGAGGACAGGTCTGGAGGGCGGGCCCACTCAGAGACCAGAAAGAAAACAGCAGAGGCCTGCTTGGTGCTCACACTCAGGCCTGACACCTTCCAATAGCTTCTGGCAGCTGGTGGAACAGCTTGGGATCCTGGTCTAGTCCAGGTAGACTACAGGAGGTGGCACCTCCTGGGAAGGGTGGGGACCCAAGGGCCAGGAGGGCTGAGATCATGCCTCCACCTGGAGGGTGTTCACTGCCCCTCTGTGAGGCGCCTGTGCTCCTCTGGAGCTGGCAGTTTTGAGGGAAGAGACACTAAGGAAAAATATTCCATATGATGAAAAACATGAAACAACACAACAGGATGGTGGCAGACAGGGTCTGGGGTTGGGTGCCCTGAGCCAACGGCAGAAGGAAGAGCAAACACCAAGGGTCGGCTGTGAAGGACCCAGCGGGGAGTGAGCTGGGAGAGTGTGGTCCTGGGAGGCCATAGGGGCAGGAGGGGCAGCCGGGGCCGCAGTGCCACACTGTCCCCATCCTGCCTGCAGCCTCGCTGTGGCACCTTGGGCCAGTCACTACCCTTCCTAAGCGTCAGTTCCCTTTGTGCAGACGGAATCACCACCACCTGCACAGAGGATGGCAAACATCACACAGGAGGAAAGCAAACTGGCCCCGGGGTGCACACATGAGAGCTCATCACACCCGCCCCAGGACAGGCCTGGCAGAGGTGGCAGGAGCCAGCGCTGCGTGAGCACTCTTACCTTGGCAATGATGTCCTTGAACTGCCCTTCTCTCCAGGCATCTGTAGGGTGATTGATCATGGTGAGCGTGGCGTTGTCATACTCCTCACACTTGTCACAGAGGAACACCAGCTGTGCCCAGAGGTGCGCCTGCTCCACAGCTCTCAGCACCCGGCAAGATGGCCACGGCCGAGGGTCAAGCTTGTGCCACGTGTGCACAAGGCAGGCAGAACCTTGAGGAGGGCCGAATTACCTTTGCGATGTTGACACGGGACCAGAAGAGCTCCAGGTGCTCCGGCATCTTCTGCGGCTTGAATTTAGGGTAGAGGATGGCCAGCTCTGTGAACATGCCCATGTGGGCCCGCTCCAGGCCCCAGTCTGCCTCCAGGAGGGAGATCAGCTCCTCAAAGTAGCCCCAATCCTGACAGACCAACAGCCAAGCTTGGGGTAGGGGCAAACACACCCGACCACAGCCTCCTTACAGCAAAGCCCATTCCAAAGAGAGGGAAGGCGTGCGACAGCCACTAGCCCCAACTCCCTCCTGGTGGTGCACTCTGGTTACAGCCTGCCCAGCATGCCTAAATCCTGAGTCTGACTGACTCCCTTCATATTAATGACCACAAGCCTTGAGGGTCACCCCTGGAGCACTGTTTCACACCCTCTTCACTCCCTGTCTTCACTCTCAGTAGATAACCTTGCTCCTGCTTCACTGAGAAAATGGAAGTCATTAGAAGAAAATGCCATGTCTACCACCTGCCAGCATCTGCGCCCACGTTCTGTCTATAGGAACAGGTCTGTGCTCCTGCTTGGAACCCGCCACAGCCTGGAGCTCTAGGTCCCACCGCTTTCCACCCACGGTGGTCCCCCTGTTCTCTCTCGGCATCAACGTCCCTTTCTACAGCTTGCCTTCAGCAAACTTCCTGCTAATTCTCCTGTCCTAAAATGCCTTTTCTTGACCCCATGACCCCTACCAGCTCCTCGAAACAGCAGTTCCCATTCCTTTCCCTGTTCTCGCAAGCCCACCCGGTCAGGCTGCCTGGTCCCCAGGACTCATGGTCATCAGTGTCCTCCACCCTCAGTTCTTCTCCTGTCACCCGCCCAGCACCAGGACTCCACTTGGCTAACCACTCCCCTCTCCCGGGGACATCTGTCCAGTGGTTGCTCAGACATCACACTCTCTGGGGTTTCTTCCCTTCTTTACTGTAACTCATGTCAGGGGGCCCAGGGCTCAGGTTGTGGCCGCTTCTATATCTACACTCACCCCCGGGGGATCCCATCCAGCCTCGTGTCTTTATATACCATCTATATATGTCAACGGTTCCCATTTTATTTCTCTAGCTGGGTTTCTGCACTGAACACCAGCCCCTATTTCTCACTGCCTGCCTGACACCTTTACCTGAACATCCAATTGGCAGCTCAAACTTACTACAACCAAAACTTAATTCCTGCTCTTCCTGTCACTCAGTCTCTACCTCTCCTCTCCCCATGTCCACTGATGATAACTCTCTATTTCTAGTTGTTCAAGCCAAAAATAAATGGAGTCATCCTTGACTTTTCTCTCACTCCACACCCAAAACACTAGCATATGAAGTTGGCTGCACATTCAACCGCCCCCACAAACCCGACCACGTCTCACCCCACATCACCCCACGCTGGCTGCTCTCTTGGCTTCCACCTGCTCCTCCGTCTGCTCACCCCTGAAAGAGTCTGTTCTCAGCATGCAAGCCAGAATGGCCCCCTCACCCTCAGGTCCTACCATGAGTACAGCCTGAGTCCTTCATGAGGGCCTGTGCCCCTGACTCCTCTCTCCGCCTTGAGGGCCCTTCCTCGAATACTTGGCACGTTCCTGCCTCCAGACTCTGCCCTGCCCGCTGACCTTTACCTCAAATATCCCCATGATCAGGCCCCTCGATTTCTTCAGGTCTCTGCTTGATGTCATCCTCTCCCTTAGCGCTACCATGACAGCCCCGTTGTGAAGTTCCACCCAGGAACACCTGGTCCCTAGAGCTGCTCCATTTCCCCCATAACTCATCACCTTCAAACATGTTTGCTGCCTGTCAACTTTACTGAATGTAAACTCAACTGAATAGGGTTTTTTCTGTTTTGTTCACTGATACATTGTCTAGACTCTGCCAAGCAAACAGAGGGTGCTCAAACATTTGCTGAACAAATGAAGTCTTCTATTTGTCAGCCTCCAGACTGCTTTATTACTTTCTTTGCTTTACAACAAGCATGTAAAGTACATGTCACTGGAAAGTCACTAAGCCTAGCCTGACATTTTGGACGTTGGTGGCATGCACGCACTTTCACAGGCTCCCAGGTCCCTCGAGCCCTGTGGCTAAGCTCCCTCCAGGCTATTGTCCCCTCAGTGAGGGGCTGGGGCTTGAGTTCCAAGGGGACAGTAACATGGCTGAGCAAAGCCAAATCTTCAGTCTGCCCTGACGGACCCTACCTGGTCTGATCACATAGCTCAAGACTCCCATGCGCATATGCCCAGGCCCTCACCACACTGATGTCTGTCTGTCAACCACTTGACAGCAAAGCATAACTACAACACCAACACCCTTCTAAAGGTCTCCCTGGAGTTCCCTCTCCTGGACTCCTACATGTCCCCTGTCTCTAAGGCGTTCCACACTCACACTCTCTGTGGGCCACATGCTCTGAGGAACTAGGGTGTGGGCAGTCACCTGGCCATGAGTGGCCTGGTATTCTCAGTAAGTTATCCAAGGCTTGTCTCCATGTGCAAGCCATGGCCTGGGCTTCTGAAGGTCCAAGGACACAAGAGGAGGGAGAGTGCTTTTAAAAACACAAATACCAGCCAGCACGAGGTCCCGGATATCTAACACACCAATCTGATTTATTTTATAGACAGGCTGTCTAGCACATGAAAGGATTTTCCCATACAGACAATGCTTATTTGTGGCTGTAACACTAACAGAACAAGTGCTCCTTTATTTACAGCGTTTAGGTGTTGCTCGTCATCTCTACTGCCAGTGGAAATCATCTCTGGCCAGAGACTAGTTACCTGGTAATAGTGTATCAGTTCCTCCAGCTCGTCTGCATGAACAACGATGTGAAGACCACACAGTTGTGCAAGGCAGAACTCCTGCCCATTCACACAGGCAAAGCACACCTAGGGGAGGCAAGTGTGAGTGTCCCCGAGACAGGGTACAGCACGACTGTAGCTGGCTACTGGGGATGCAACTGCAAATATAGAAATACCAGCAAGTGGGGCTTTTGAAGTTTGATTCTGAACAAGTAGATAATTGTAAGGTGAGCTGCATGAGACTAGGAGAAAAAATAGAACATTTCTAACCGGCAGGCCAAGGGGGTGTATGAGTTTGAGACCATGGAGAGAAGAGAGCTCAGGCATTACTTCCAAACCCTGAGATGTGGAGGTTTGTTTAGGTGACAAGAAAGTGATGCTGGAATTTCAGGTTTGTGGTTTGAAAAAGGTTTAACAAAGCTCAAGGATAAGGGTCATGAGAGCATATGTCACCTGAGGGCTGTCTACACAGGAGGAGCTTACTTTAATAACTTTTTCTAAACTGTGCTTTTGTTTCAGGCACTGTGCAGCACACACACTTAACGATAAGTGTTAAGAAGTGACGGGGGCGGGCCCGGTGGCGCAGGGGTTAAGTTTGCACGTTCTGCTTCTTGGCAGCCCGGGGTTTGCTGGTTCGGATCCTGGGTGTGGACCCAGCACCGCTCGGCACGCCATGCTATGGTAGGCGTCCCACATATAAAATAGAGGAAGATGGGCACGGATGTTAGCTCAGGGCCAGGCTTTCTCAGCAAAAAGAGGAGGACTGGCAGTAGTTAGCTCAGGGCTAATCTTCCTTAAAAAAAAAAAAAAAGTGACAAACCCCCTGTGCAGAAAGGACTCAGGAGGGGCCCTTGAACTGCACTTCTTTTGAGGGCTGACCACAGATAACCCCTCCCTCAATGCAGAGCCGGGTTCTTGCGCAGTTTCCCCACCTTCTACACACAGCACGTGTTTGCATGGTAGGCAAGGCAAAAAACGCAGGGAAACAAAAACAGTCACACAACCCACAGATAACCAGTCGTGACCTTGAAACATGACCTTTGCTCACTACTCTGTGCGATGTACACCCCAGCACATGCCAGCTCTCTCTTACAGTCACACACAGAATGGAATTACACCGGACATGCTGCTTACACCCTGCTTCTCACAGAATACTGGGAATATCCTCTCCCGTAACTGCTGATTCACTCTGAACAGCAGGGGAGAGTCACAATATATACACCATTTAATGAAGGCCTTGATAGTGGACGTTTTCTAATCTTTTATTAAACAATGCTTCAGAGATTCACTGAAGCTAAATCTTTTGCACATCTCTTTACAAACTTTTTCCCACTCACTGATGTTTCTATCAGAGAGCTTCAAGACGACTTGCCCTACCAATTCACCACAAAAGACCAGCAATGTCAGTTGACACTGATTATGCTAATAAAGTGATATGATTCATTAAAATATTTTAAGTTATGACACTATTTATGATGCTGATAATTCCATGCTATTAAGACAACTTCTGGGAGCTGATTGGTCCAACATGGGGTTCTGTGGGTCTTTGCTTCAACCACAAACACTAGCTTACAGGGTTCTCTGAGCCATCCCAGAGGACTCAGAACCCTGCCTGGACGAGGCAGCCATCCAGATGCCTCCCACTTGGGACCAGGGTGCAGAGCACAGAAGGAAGGAGGAGGGAAAGCTTGGCAGACTGGCGCTCTCCTGGAGACTCTCCGAGCTTACCTCCTTCCACGTCCACGTGCTCTTGGCCTTGGCGCTGCTGTCCACCGCTGCCTGATACTTCCCGAGGTGGACCTGGTTGGAAGCCAGGTGGGCAAAGTTAGAAACACTGCTGTAGAGCAGCTGGGCAGCCTTGTACATTCCCTCCTTGTAACAGCGGTCTCCAACCTAGGAACAGTCAGGTAGCTCTGCAGAGACAGTCTTAAATGGGAAGATTCCTCAGAGCTCGTTTGAAGTTTCTAAGTAGCAGGGATATTTTCTGTTTTCAAAGGATGTGAGCATCTTTCTGATCACACAGCAGCCTGGGCCACCACAGAGCTCCTGGAGGATGAAGCGTGTCCTCAGACCCGCTCTCCATTTGCCTGCTCCTGCATGCACCGGCGGTCACCTCTCACACCTGCACCCCATGGGCCAGGTGCAGAGCAGCGCTCCTGTGCTTCCAGACTGCGTCCTTCCTCCTCACTAAACACTGGGGAATCTCATGCCGGGCATCGCCTGCCAGCCCTCATTCTTGCTGCCAGCCACAGACCTGTCTCATTCCCTGAGGGCTTTAGCTTTCTTTGACCTCCTCTGCTCTGAAGACCTTGTGTCCCTCATGACAACAGCCAGTCACTGTTAGAGAGCTGCCACCTCTGCGAACTCAGGCACAAGAACCCACTCTCTGCCTGCCACCTCCCCTCCTTTCCAGCACCCCAACCCCTGCCCCACCATGCCCATCTGTGCCTGGCCTACGCTCCTCCTGGTGGCACTCCTTGGAAACTTCCTCAGCTGTACTTGGCAGTACTCGCTCAGCCAAACCCCAGTCTTGCTTAGATTACTTTTCTGTTGACTCCACACCTGGGACTGAGGAGCTAAACAGAGACAGCTGAACCCCGAACTGCCACTGGTCTCCCCTGACCTTGATACTAAACCCAGAGGAGCTCACAACACTAGCAACCCTACTCCCTCAGCCAGGTACTGTCTCCTTGTCAACCATTTCCTCTCCTCCTCTCCTCCAATCTCCAATGGCTCGAGTTGAGGACCGGGCTTCCGATCTCCTGAGGAAACAGACACAACCAGAAGAGCCCTCGACACGCACCGAGACGTGCCTGCCCCTCACTGTGTCTATGGTCCTCACCCAGCCACCAAGGCCAGCCCTACTGGTACATGTGATCCCAGCCCCCTTCCCTGTTCCAGGTCAGCATCTTCAAGCCCCTGCAGTGATTTCGCCCTCTGTACTAAATTACTCTCATAAGCTTAAGGAGCTGCTGTTATTTTTCCCAGCTCCAAACCAAAACAAACCACTCTCACTCTGATCTCAGCTCAGCTATCGGCTACCATGCTGTTTCTACCGTTTCCTTTAGATCAACATTTCTCAGAAGAGGTGCCCTTGTGTCCTAAAAGCTGTCCCCAGTCTCTTCTTGTCTTCTCTGGAACACGCCGCATCAGGCTCTTGCAAGCTCCCCAGCAGGGTCATCACTGCCAAGTCTCCAGTTCGCAATGTGCGGCGTCTGGCTTCCCCATCACTCTCCCTGACAGATGCCTACTGGGTCCCTGGAAAGCCCTCCTCTGCCCCCTGCTTTTCTCCCACTTTCCTGGCTACTTTGCATCTCTACTTCTCCCTGACCCTGAGCTATGGGGTACCCTGGTCCCAGGCTTCAGGTCCCCTCCCCACACACTCTTACCCTGTGAGCGTCACCTGCACACTGAAGGCTGCTGCATTTACGGCTCTAGTTCAGAATTCTCCTCGGAAACCTGACTATTATATCCAGCTGGGCAGACCCCCTCGGATGTTGAGTAGAGATCAAACTTGTCCTAATGTGAGTCCTGACTCCCCCCAGGGCAAGCCTTACACTCTACTCCCCACGATAGGAAGCACAAGCCCATCTGCCTAGTCCAGGCCTGTCTCATGCTCCAAAGCATGTAGTCGCCTCGCTCCCTCTTCTCGCAAGCACTCCACCAGCAACCCTGGTAATGCCACCAAACTCATCAGAAGCTCTCTGCCACTCACCTTGACTGTTCTCTCTGAGCTATCATCAACTCTTGTCTGCTCTCACTGCTTCTGCCTCCGTCCTTCAGTCTGTTTTCAGCATAGCAGCCAGAGGGGTTCTGTTAACACCTAGATCAGATGACATCCCTCCCCTGCTCAGAATCCTCCAGTCTCACCCAGAGAGGAAGCCAGAGTCCTGCTGATGGCCCCCAAGTCCTAACAAGTGATGCCAATAACCGCCTCTCCCGACCCGTGCCCTCTTTGGCTTGAACTCCAGGCCCTATGGAATTTGATCACTCTGCTTCAGCTGTCTGGCCACCTCCGCACTGCTCCTGCAGCACACTCAAATACTCTCTCACAGGGCCCTGGCACTGGCTGTTCTCTCTGCTCTCAGGGCTCCTCCCCCAGAGGGATGCAGACTTCAGCACTCACTTCTGGGACACCTTCCCAGCCACCCTGTCTAGAAAAGCACCACCTACTTTCACACCCACCACCTGCCCTAACACTGCCCACACCCTCCCTGCTGCACTTTTCTCCTTTCCAGTTACAATTTAACATACCATGCATTTCTTGAATGGATCTTAAGATCCACAAGGGCAGAAATTTGACAGGTGCACCCAAAGCCCCTACCCCGCCACATGGAAGATGCTTAATCAAAGTTTGTTGAATGGATCAATAAATGAAGTACTGCATCAAAGGGTATGATTATCTAAGACCCTTGCTACTGGCAATACAGGGAAATGCAGGGAAAACGAGTTAAATGGTATCACAGAGATGCAGTCAGCAGAAGCCAGACTATGGGAAACATACAAAACAGGCAGTGGGCTGGATCTGGCTGGTGTGTACTGACTGCCTTGGAGAACTGAGGAAGGCAGGAAGCATGCCTGACCTTGGGGCCACCACGAACAAAGAGGCGAAGAACAAGACAAGCCATGTGTGCTCCCCAGTCTGGCCAGTCGCCAGGTGAGATTTAACTTCTCTGTGACCCAGGGCAGTCCCTCTGACAATCCTACTTAACAGACTCTCCAGCCAGGAGAATCCTGGTACAAATTTAGAGGGAGATTTTGGGCAAGGTTTTGTTTTCTAACGTTTTTATTAATTTGCTGGTTACAAAAGTAACTGTAAAAGTTATGGTCGTTGATTTAATAAAAAAGAATTTGGCAAACACGGGCAAGTAGAAGGAAAATAATATTACAATACTGCCCAATTCCATATCTCAGAGTTGTTCACTGTCCCCATCTTGGGTGTTTTTCCAGGCTGGTGTGTTTATTATATTGTACATGCAGGTTTTCACTCTGCTGGAGCTTACTTTCAAAGATTTTTCTATCACAAACGAGGCTCTAAATGCTTGCAATGGCTGTATTATATTCCATCAATGAATGCTGTTTAATTATTCCCTTCTGCCAGACACTGTTTTCCAATTTTTATTAGCATAAATCATGCTGCAATGATTAAATATTTCTATGTAAAGCTATCAGGACCTTTTCTACTTTCCTGGGATGAATTTTTATATCTAGACTTACAAGGTCCATGATTAGGAATATACATACGTTTAAAATTTTTATGCATTAGATCAACTGATATTTTCTTTATGCTTTCTTCCATCGCTATATATATGCTTAAAAATTCCTTCCTCACACAAAGATAAATACTTAAAAATTTTTATTAATAAAAAACCAAACTTTTACCTTTAATTCTTTCTTCTGGAATTTAATTTTGGTTACAAAATTACATGACAGACTTTTAACCTCTTTCAAAACTCTAACCTAATTTCCAACAATTTGTTGGAATTTATTTTGACATAAAAAATCCAAAGTGCACTTGCATGCTCTTTATTTCAACGATGCACGTGCATCTCCCCAGAAAGGCGCACCTGTGCTTCCTGCACTTACAGTGCACTCCATTATCCCTAGTCTCTCTCCATCACTTTTCCCAGGGCTAAAATTTTATCCCTGGAAACAGCAGACTTTACAACTATTTAGATCTTTACTCAATGTTTTTTTTGCTAAAGTTTATTTAACATTTTGGTTTGGTTCCTATTTAAAAAGGAATTTTCTTCCATTATGTTATCTGATAACTGCTGCCATATGGGAAAGCTATTAATTTTCAACCTCTCTCTTCAATCTGGCCAGCCACGTCACTCAGTTCACTTTGTTCCAGTGGTAACAGCTAGAACACTGCACTAGTCCTGAAGCCTTCTTTTCTAGGAAAATCATTCTGATGTGGACAGCTAGGGGCCTTAACTTCCAGACCAACGACAGTAACAAGGGACTTATTCACTGCATGGCTTGTTTCCAGCCATCACAGATCTGCACCACTCTAGGGAGCAATCCCTGCACCTGCCTGCAGCAGTCACAGTCCCTGGGGGCACTGCCTATCTGCTGGATGTGGGCATCACTGGGTCCATTAATACAATCTTCTAGCTCAGAGAGATGGCTGGTTTTAGCCAGGGCAAAAAGAAGTCCAGTCTCTATATAAGATTCACGGCCCTTTTTCCTGGCCATCTGCAGGAATTTAACCAAATCTTCCCAACTGTCTAAAGACAGAAAACAAAACTAGGTTAACCCAGAGCTGCTAGGTTCAGATAGGGGACTCAACTCCTCCCCTTCTGTCCTCAGCCAAGACATCTATTCTCCCGCTCTGCCTCGCTGAGGGCTCGGGCTCCAGGTAAGGTCTCGAAGGTCTTGGACTTGGCCTGCCAAGCAGAGCCCTGTCCAGGTGGGAGAAGGGGAGGGGACAGAACCACACGGGAGCTGCCCTGGGGATGGGATCCTCCATGTGACCAACCAAAGACCTCCCCAGGAGATGGATGCTTACTCCAGCCACCGGAAACGCTGGTGCCACAAGCAACTGGGAAGGCCCAAAGAGACTCTGAGTCCAAGTCTCTCACCTCAAAGTTATTACAACAGTGATATCCATTGTGCTTAAACTGTCGAGTCCTGTAAAAGTGGGTAACGGTCAACTAAAGAGCCAGTGTCATTAACAGAATAATATTCATCTCAGACTCTTTTAGGAAACTTTCACTCAGTGCCTCCCCAACATCTCTGGATGCATAATACATGTGGATTGCTGCAAGGGCCATACTCCTGCTTCTCCAGGCTTCACACCAGTGAGAGGCAGCACCCCGTAGAGAAGAGGTTCACTTACTGCTCCTACTGGCTGCCTCAGCGACCTCCAGGTAAGAGGAAGGGTCATCAGCTCTGATGTAGGAGTCGATGGCTTCCTTCACCAAGTCTTTCTGGAGCTGGGCACGGGCCAGCTGACTCCACACAGCAGGCGCATTGCATCTCTCTGCAAACTCGTATGCTCGGTCTAGATTTCCCATGTGCTCGATCAGGACCTAGGGGTTACAAGAGGCTCTCAGTCTCCACAACACTCAGTCAGCTCCCAGGGAGCAGACGGATTTCTGTTCTGCCTAAAGTTGCATGACCATTTCAATTCAGTTCAATGCAATTGGTGGTTAAGTATTTCTCAGATGAGTGAATGGAGGGAAAGAATGAGAGTGGTTTGTACAGGGAGGGGGATGCCAGATGGAGAAGAGACACTCCAATGAAGAGGCATAAAGAAATGGAGACAGTCAGGCTAAGCTTTTTGGGCCAGCGGCAGGACACCAGAGTTGTGTCCTGGTCTTGGGAGGTGAGACAGTACAAAGGGGCATAAAGGCTGTAAAAAGGTTCAGAGGAGCTGCTGTGGGGAATGAGATAGCTCATCAGGCAGAAACAGGCTTGCAGGGCAGCCTGGAGGGCCGGGGTGCAGCAGCCACCCACCTTATATTCTGGTCTCAGAGCAAGGCCACAGCCCATGTGGGAATCGAAAAGAGAGGATTCTGGGTTGGAGGTTTCATGGCAGATACAGAAAAATGGTAAGGGAAGAGGCAAGGATGTAATGAATACTGGTAAGAGAGCAGTTAAAGAGATATGTCCCACAGTTTACAACTGCCTTAGAAATAAAACCAGAAAAGGCCGCAGACTGGGAGGAAAGAGATGAGGATTAATGAAGAGCTCTTGGTTGAGGCTGAAGGTAGGTGTGGGGGCTGGCAGGATTGCTCTGGGGAGCTGAAGTAGCGTGGGGGTGAAGGGTGGGAACAATCGTCATGGGTGAGAGCCTCTGAGAATCAGATACCTCGGTCATCAGGGCTGACCACATGACTTCACGTCAGGTACTCGAGTCTAGGAGAGTGCTGGGGGAAGGCTGGGTAACAGCAGACGGAAGGAGCCAACACGCTGTGAAGGCGGGTCACTGGTGAGGAGCAGAGAGGAACACAAGACTCTGAGAGACGCATGGGACAACCAGAGGCTCTGAGGCCCTCGGTGGTGACGAGGACACAATGCGGCAAAGGAAGCTAGGGTCTAAGCCAACAGTACTCAGCAGCTCACCCTCACCCAGATTGCTGAGGCATTCATGTCAAACTTGCGGAAGATGACAAACGCCTCCTCGTACAGGGCACTGCTGACAGCAATGCTGGCAATGGCTGGGGCATCGCAGTTGTCCAGGTGGCTTATGTATTCCATGACCCGTGTGTGGTCCGCCTTAACGGCGGTCAGGATCAGCAGATTCTGGAGATTCCTGACAAGAGGTGGTGGTCAGCATAGTCTCACAGGAATGAAGACTGCACACAATACTATCTGGCAGGTCAACCACCCAAGACCCTCAATTTAAAAGCATTTAATACACACACACACGACTGATAAGTAGATACAATAGAATACTGATGAAGTATATGGGGTCTTGGGAAAGCACCAGCTAAGAGAAATTAGACACCACCAATCACTGGAGGGCTGCGGTGGCTTCTCCAGGAGCCGCCTTCTGCTCCCACTTCAGAAGTTCCTATTCTCCTGAATAGTGCCTCTATCAGTTCTTTGCGGTTCCTTATAGTTGAACCACATATATTGCATATCTAAGCAATATAGACAGTTTTGCACGCTTTTGAACTTTCCTTTTCTTTAATCATACTATACGCATTCTTATAAAAAGTGTTTTCTTTTTCCCTATTCAAAAATGTGGAAATAAATCAATGTAATACATCATATTAAGAATCAAAAAATGAAAAAGAATGTGGTCATCATCAATTCAGAAAAAGCATCTGACAAAACCCAACATCCATTAATGATAAAAACTCTCAGCAAACTAGAAATAGAAGGGAACTTCTTCAATCTGACGAAGGATATCTACAAAAAACCCACAGCTAACATCATACTCAATGGTTAGCAACTGGATGTTGCCCCCAGAATCAGGAAGAAGACAAGGATGTCTGCTGTCACCACTTCAATTTGACTTTGTACTGGAGGCTCTAGTCAAGGCATTTAGGCAAGAAAAAGAAATAAAAAGTATCTAGATTAGAAAGGAAAAAATAAGACTATCCCTATTTTCAGGCAACATGATTGACAGAAAATTCTGAGGAATCTACAAAAATAAAAAAAATCCTAGAACTAATAACTAAGTTTAGCAAGGTTGCAGAATACATGTCAAAAACAAAAATCAATTGTATTTCTATATACTAGCAATGTACAACTGTAAACCAAAAAAAAAAACCTACAATAGCTCCAAAAATATGAAATACTTACATATAAATCTAATTAAACATGGATATGATCTACATGCTGAAAACTATAAAATGCTGATGAGAAAAATCAAAGATCTAAACAAATGGAGAGACATATTGTGTTTACAGACTCAGCATAGTAAAGATACCAATTCTCCCTAAATTGGCCTATAGATTTCATGCAATTCCAATAAAAATCCCAGGAGATATTCCTGTAGATATAGACAAGATAATTCTAAATTCTGAACAAGAATAAAGTTGGAGGAATCACACTACCTGGCCAACTGATTTTTGACAAAGATGTAAAAGCAATTCTATGGAGAAAGTATTCAACAAATGATGCTGAAACGACTGGACACATACACGCAGAAAGATGAAAGTCGACCTGAACTTCACACCTTACTGGATGCTGGGCCATAGATCTGAATGTAAATGTAAAACTATAAACCTTTAGAAGGAGACACAGGAGACAATCTTTGTGACCTGGGATTAGGCAGAGTTCTTAGACTTAACAGCAAAACACTATCCACAAAAGAAAAGTTTATGGGGGCGGCCTGGGGGCACAGCGGTTAACTTTGCACATTCTGCTTCAGCGGCCCGGGGTTTGCAGGTTCGGATCCCGGGTGTGGACCCGGCACCGCTTGGCACGCCATGCTGTGGTAGGCGTCCCACATAGAAAGTAGAGGAAGATGGGCACGGATGTTAGCTCAGGGCCACTCTTCCTCAGTGAAAAGAGGAGAATTGGCAGCAGTTAGCTCAGGGCTAATCTTCCTCAAAAAAAAAAAAAAAGAAAGAAAGAAAAGTTTATGAATTGGAGTTGATCAAAATGAAAACTTTTGCTCTGTGAATGATACTGTTAGGAGAATAAAAAGAGAAGCTACACACTGGGAAAAACATATTTGTAAATCACATATCCAACAAAGAACTTGTATACAGAATATTTAATAACCCTTAAAACTCAACAGTAAAAATCCAAATAATCCAATTAAAAAACAGGCAAAAGATTTAAAGAGACGCTTCCCCAAGAGGATATATGGATGGCAAATAAGCACAAGAAAAGTTGTTTAACATTATTAGCCATCCGGAAAATACAAATTAAAACCACAATGCCATACCACTATAAGCTTATTAGAATGGCTAAAATAAAAAATACTGATAATACTAAGTGCTGATGAAGATGCAGAGCAACCGGAATTCTCACATATTGCTGGTGGGAATGCAAATGATACAGCCATTCTGGAAAACAACAGTTTGACATTTTCTTAAACATACATATACCGTATGACCCAACAACTTCTGCACATGTTCAAACAAAAATCTGGACACATAGGTTTAGAACAGCAGTATTCATGATCACTGCAAAGTGAAAACAACCCAAACGTCCTTCAGCGACTGAGTGAACAGATAAACAAACTGTGGTACACTCGCACAATGGAACACTATTCAGCAATAAAAAGAACTATTGATGCACACAACTTGGGTGAATCTCAAAGGCATTATGCTGAGTGAAAGAAGCCAGTCTCAAAAGATTACATACTATGTGATTCCCTTTACATGACATTCTTGAAAGGCAAAACTAGAGAGATGGGGAACAGATGTGTGGCTGTCAGGGGTGCAGGGTTGGGGAGTTGTAACTATAAAGGGATGCTCACATAGGGGAGTTTAATAGGGTCACAGAACTGTTCTGTATCTTGATTGAGGTGGTGACATGAATTTAGACATGTTAAAATTCCTAATATTGTACATCTTCCCCAAAAGGTCAATTTTACTGTGTAATAATTAAAAAGAATAAAGAAAAAATATTAAGAACTTAGAACCTAAGATTCAGCCAGGCTGTTGTACAGTATTAATTTCCACTGTGACATGGCACCCCACTGTATGATGGTACCACAGCCTATTTATTGATGGGTGTTTGGACTGCTTTCAGATCTTTGCTCTTGGAAACTGTGCTGCTTTGAGCCTTCTTGCACATCTCCTGACAACACGTAAGGCAAGTTTCTTTAGGGTTCAAAACAAGAGTGGAAACTGCATGTTCTGGCACACACTGCTTTCCAAGTGTAACAAGCATTCCCAGGAGGGCACGTAAGAGCCCGAGTTGCTTAACATCCTAGTGCTGATTAGGAGAGCTAGACCCCCGCTGCCCTGCAGGAGGAAAGTGATGGCGCACAGCAGCCGCACAGTTTCCTTGGTGGCTGATGAGGCTGAACTCCTGCCTCAGACGCATCACTGCTGTCTCTCCTCTCAGAGGAGGACTGCTAAAGTGCTCTGTTGAGTTTTCTATCAGGTCGAGTTTTTCTTTTATTACATGTTCTCCATACTAGTTTTTTGTTGGTTATGTATGTTGCAAATGTCATCTCCCTGTTCACAGTTTCCCCTTTTCTCACCTTAGGATAAAGTTCTTAAGTTTAACATAGTCCTATTTATCAATTTTCCAAAAAAGGTTTATGTTTTTTTGTGACTGGTTTAAGTGTTCATTAGGACATAAATATATTCTTTTTCTACACATAAACTCTAAAAATATTACAGTTTTGCCTTTTACATAGTATGGGATAGGTGTCCAATTTTAACTTTTTCCCATATAGATAACCAATTGTCCCAACATCGCTTATTGAAAAATCTATCATTTCTAACTTTAAAGCCAGCTCTGTCATAAATAAATGTTTTATATACATGTGGGATATTTTAGGGCTCTTTATTATAATAGTCCATTTCCCTATTCCTTGCCCAAATCATCATGTCTTAATTCAGTTCTATAATAATTCTAGATTAGAGTAAGCACCTTGCCATCCCAACACCCACTCCTACCTCTTGGGTAATTTATTGCTTTAGGAGCATCTGGACTATTCTTGGCTTTTTATCCTTTTGATACAAATCTTTTTTCTTATTTTTATTTATTTATTTTTATTAAGATTATGATAGCTAACAACCTTGTGAAATTACAGTTGTACATCATTATTAGTCATGTTGTAGGTACACCACTTCACCCCTAGTGCTCTCCCCCACCCCCCCTTTCCCCTGGTAACCACCAATCAGTTCTCTTTGTCTATATGTTAACTACCACCTATGAGTGGAGTCATATACAGTTTATCTTTCTCTGTCTGGCTTATTTCACTCAATATAATACCCTCAAGGTCTATCCATGTTGTTGCAAATGGGACGACTTTGTCCTTTTTTATGGCTGAGTAGTATTCCATTGTATATATATATATATATACCATATCTTCTTTATCCAATCATCAGTTGCTGGGCACTTAGGTTGGTTCCACGTCTTGGCTATTGTGAATAATGCTGCGATGAACATAGGGGTGCATGGGACTTTTGGAATTGCTGACTTCAGTTTCTTAGGATAAATACCCAGTAGTGGGATGGCTGGGTCATATGGTATTTTTATTTTTAACTTTTTGAGGATTCTCCATACTGTTTTCCATAGTGGCTGCACCAGTTTACATTCCCACCAACAGTGTATGAGGGTTCCTTTTTCTCCACAGCCTCTCTAACATTTGTCATTGTTGGTTTTGGATATTTTTGCCAGTCTAACAGGTGTAAGGTGATATCTTAGTGTAGTTTTGATTTGCATTTCCCTGATGATTAGTGATGATGAGCACCTTTTCATGTGTCTCTTGGCCATCCATATATCTTCTTTGGAGAAATGTCTGTTCATGTCCCCTGCCCATTTTGTGGTTGGGTTGTTTGATTTTTTGTTGTTGAGTTGTGTGAGTTCTTTATATATTATGGAGATTAACCCTTTGTCAGATAAATAACTTGTAAATATTTTTTCCCAATAAGTGGGCTGTTTTTTTGTTTCAATCCTGTTTTCCCTTGCCTTCAAGAAGCTCTTTAGTCTGATAAAGTCCCATTTGTTTATTCTTTCTATTGTTTCCCTCATCTGAGGGGTTATGGTGTCCAAAAAGGTTCTTTTGAAGCTGATGTCAAGGAGTGTACTGCCTATATTCTCTTCTAGAAGACTTATTGTTTCAGGCCTAATCTTTAGGTCTTTGATCCATTTTGAGTTTATTTTAGTGAA